ACAGAATACTCTTTTTTACTGGCCTTCTGAATTTTTATTGCATCACGGCTACAACCCTAAGATAGCTATTTTGCATCCTAACTAGTCAGTCAAGTCTACCGTCCTCCTTGTCTGTATATTTTTATTTTTTAAAACATTCCTCCAAAGTTTCGGATCGATCTAATAGCCGCCTTGTAAAGAAGAGAAACTTTGAGAGCTTTATCAAAAGCTCTCATTTTATAATTTTTGGAACCAGTAATTTTAACGCGTACGGAAATATTCTATCCAGGAAGGATAATAAAACTTCCTTATTTGACGTATGAAAGCTTGAGTGTCGCTCTATAGTGGACAACAAGGCTGTATTTAATGCTTAATGACATATACAGTGACTTTGTTCATACAAAGACGCGTTCTATATATTTCGCATTAGAAATTTCACTTCTAGAACTTATATATCATTTATCACCAGACAACGAGACTTAATTACTCCTTTTTCAAGAACTTTGGCTTATGTGTAACTTTATGTTAGAATGCAAATTTCATTTCGAAGAAATTCACGCAAGCGTATCTTTTATATACTGCCTCTCTCTTTTTTGAACTGGCCAGGTTGAAAAAATATACACTTGATATTTGTTTGTTGTTCTATATCTTACATAATTAGAATGTGGAGTCAGTCATATGATACCTCACTTTGAAGCAATATCTTTACTTAATGCTTCGACGCACCGTAGGAGTCGATAATCTTTCCTCATCCATGGCTAAGCAGGCGACGACTTAGGTTTACTGGTAGCTGAAAGGGGTTTCGCTCCTCATGTTGAAGCTTTAAATCACAAACGGAGTTGTGCGTCCATTTCGCCGAATATGTCGAACACCTTTAGTTTTCATTGAAGTTCTGAACAACTGCTGGGTTTCCTGTTTTTTTTTTTGAAATTTCAGCACCCTCATGCATTGTAGACAATAGCAGTACGAATTTCTGGAAGGTACGAAAGTTAATACATTTTCTTGATCAAAACAGAACATGATGAATTTTGTTTAGCTGCCTTATGTCAAGCAGTAGTAGAGGAATATCAATTATTGTCAGTTTGTAAGGATCTTGGAGTAGTTCATTTGCCAAACTGATGAATGTGAACCAGTTGTCCATGGTAACATTCCTATTACTTCCATGGACAGATTTTGTAAGCTCCTTTACAAAGTAGGTAGCAAGCGGCAAACCATTCGTTCTGGTTTTTTTCCTATATACGGACTACACCACCATACAGCATATAGCATAGCAAGGCTTTCTTATGCCATACTTTGAATCATCTGATCCCTTCATCGATACGACTTCAAGATTATCTTGTTCCCAATCACTGCCACTATCGTCAATGGATCTGGATCATCGTCTTCTCCCTCCATAATTTTTCTCATTTTCTCTTCCATCTTGAGATAAAGACCGGTTTGGAGTCATTTAGCTAGAAAGAAATGTCCTCAGGACGCCATGTATAAAAAATAGAATACACATTAGCTCACAAATAAAGGCCAGCAAAACCAATTTTTAGAGAATGGAATAAGAATCAGCTTGCTTGAAAACTTACAAACAGTAATACGTAACTTACGACGAAAGTGCAAAATCTCCGTTGCGCTTGACAAATGCGCGATGTTGCGTAATGGTACCAAGAGCCTCATCCGGATACGATCTCTGGAAATGGACGGAATATCACGACGAATATTGTCGATCGTAAATCTTACGAATGTCCCGTACTCTATCTAGGGTTAAATATGGAATATGACATTTCTAAAAAACTTAAAATCTATCAATTTTTCAAACTGGATGTCCCACATTTTAGATTAAGATTGAGATTAATATGACACACGTGCGTTTCCTATGTACCTACAAAAACGCTCAACTTTGGCAGCCTGCCAATCTGACATTTTGGAAAAAAGTGATTTTATTTGGGGTTACAAAGTGCTCACGTAGAGTTGACATGACCCTCCATTCTAATAAAAAAAATGCTTCAGGATGGCTCCCATCCGCTATCTTCAAATCTTTAAGTCTTAATTTCAATTTGAAATATAGGTTTCACGCGCCAAATTCATCGTGTCGAATTTCAACTTACTTCCTAAGGCTCCCACTCCTTATATTTGACTCACGGAAATACTCAAAAAGTGAAAAAATCCCAATGCCATTTGAAATATTTCAAACTAGAAATTAGGCTGGATAATGTTCAGCGACACCGATTCACTTATACGAGCCCCTTCCCACTTCAGTTGGCCCAACTATTGAAATCTTAGTCTTTTTTCTTATCAAACACAATAATAAAAATGTAGCAGGGTGTTATAGGTCTAAAATATTAACAATGAATATTTTGATAATATATAGTAGAAAACACCAACTTTATCACTCCCTAATCAAATTTGCAGCATAAAAATAACACATGTTGCAATTACAGCATATCAACTTATTTTCATTTCAATGACAAATAAGTCTTTAACGCATAGGCGGCTGTGAAAAATAAAAGCCAGGATAATTGTTTTTATTAATCACAGCTGTCAGAATACGTTTAAATAGTTTTGAGTAGTTAAGGTTTCAAAATGGGTAGAGGAAAGGTTATTAGTGCGAAAATTCGGTTACTGACAATTAAGTTTTTTTAATTCTAGGAAATCAAACTCAGAAATTGCAACTTTGTTAGAATTATCGCGGTACAGTGTGAGAAATATTGTTAGAAGATATAACGTAACTGATTCAGTTAATATTAAGCCAGGATATGTGAAAAAAGGTTATATCACAAATGCCGACCGAAGAGCATTAAGAAGAATAATCGTGAAAAACAGGCGTGCCAATTATTTACAATTAAGTGCTCTGTGGAGTGTCGCTGTTGGAACGAGAATTTCGAGGTCCACAACTCATAGAGAGGCCCACAAACTAGGATTTAGCACTTGCAAGGTAAGTTTTCTTATAAAAAAAGTGAAGTAAAAACCATAAAGTTGCACAACTTGTTTATAGGCCAAAGAAAAGCCTCTCTTAACTCCACTGCAAAAGAAAAATCGGCTTAGATGGGCTAAAGAACATAGACAATGGACACCTCAACAATGGTGTGCAATACAATGGAGTGATGAGGCCCGATTCGAAGTTTGTGTTGGTCACAGTCGCAGTAGAGTTATTCGCAAAAAAAAATTAAGCATTCAATGTTGACTGTCTGAAGAGAAAAGTGAATTTTCCAGCATCTATTATGGTCTGGGGCAATTAGGTCATCAAAAGGAGTAGGAAAACCTCATTTTATTGATGGAAATGTGAATACAAACAAATATTTGGCAATTTTAGAAGAATCGCTTTACCAGTGATGGAAGAATGTTTGACATCCGGCCAAGACTTTGTGTTTCAGCAAGATGGTGCAGCGTGCCATACCTCAAAAAAGGCTATAAAATGGATGGAAGAAAATAATGTACCATTTTTGAAATTGGTTTCTAGCAGTCCAGATCTGTCACCTATTGAAACTTTGTGGCACGAGATGAAAAAGGTTCTACGACAAACGTCCTGCTCGTACAATCACCGAACTGAGACAAAAGCTTCAAGAAATATGGGATTGTTTTTCACCAAATTTTGCCAAAACTTGGTTAACACTATGCCCCAAAAAATTTCAGCCGTAATAAAAAATAAAGGTGGTTACCCAATGGTAATTTGCAATTGTTGCTTTGTTAACTCGGGCATTTATTCGCACATTGTTTATTTGTTCAGATGTTCTATTAGTTATAGGTCTAAGTGATTTCAAATATGTATTTTTTACGACTAGAGTATATCTAAAATGTTTCGAGAAAATAAATTGTTTAAAAAGTAGATAGTTTCGTCATGTTTAGTTTATAAAGGCATATTTGGTACAAATCTTGAAGTGGGCCAACTGAAGTGGGAAGGGGCTCGTATATGGTCGCTTCACCAATACTACCTGTTTTCTAATAACATTGTTAATCAATATATTCTGTGCACTACTGTCTTCTAGGTTTTAGATGATTAATGTAGCTCATCTATCTTACGATTAGATAGTTCAGAATTGGTATCAAATTCGACTACGAAAATACAAAAAGCATGATCGCGTTTTGCTTCATCCAATCATCGCCATATCAAAGTTGACGTTGAGTGGCTGCTCATAGCATGCGATATGCTTACAACTGCATTGATACCTTGATGAGGGTAACTTCTTGAAAACTGCAGTTATCACCGACAAGAAATCCCTTTAAGATGTTTCACAACTTACGATATTTTATGGCTTCCGGCACTGTACTCATTGGGAATATTTTACTATAATATTTTATTGGAAATTGGAGTATCTAGCACTGATATCACCTAGATTACGACTGACCAACTTGTAACAAGCTGATGAACACGACACTGTCTCATGACGATTTCAATTTCCTTCTTTTGACCTGCGTACATTCAAGGGCTAACCGAAAGCTTCTACTTTCTTTACAGGTGGCTACTACATAATCGAGCGCAAGACGCTGAAACTCCAGATCGTTGTACTGAACACGAACCTGATGAAAAGGAGCGACCAAGACGAAGACGCTGCGAGACAATGGGAGTGGCTTGAGAGGGTGCTGCAAAAGTTTCAGAGGAACGGCGAAACGGTAAGTGGACGAAAGCTGGTTTAGTCAAGGAGGGTGCTGTTAATTATCCAGTCACTCCAAGATCCTCTCTGCCACGCAGACCCCTGGTAATACCGTTCCGTGCTGAAATACGCAAAAATTCAATTTGGTATCATAGGATGGTGTTACTTAAACAACACTAAGGATGATGTATTCCCAAATATTCTAATTGACAATTGACCCGTTTCAGCATTAACCCGGTAAAGTTGCATGAATATGCTCAAGTTGGGCTAGCAGCACGATTCGAGTGCGAGCTGAGAATCCGTGAGGTAAGGAAGCATGACCCACCAATAACAGAGTCGAATTTGGAAATGGATTCATGTCATAAAATCGGTAGGAAATTCAAATGGAAATCCATCTGGAAAGGTGAGATGCAGTTATATTTCTTCTATCGTCGATCTCATAAAATCCTAATCTGCTCCTACTCCAACTTTGGTATCACCTCAAGACACCAACCTGCACCGTAACTTGCGCCTAGGCTCCAGATTGCGGCAATGACCGTGTGGAAATCATATCTTCAAAATTTTCAAGTGATCCTTTGTCTCTATTAAATTGACTATTAACATTTGCCACATTTCAAATTAACAAAGGTTTTACTTATGACATTTTCATAACGCTTTCGAATTTCATTTTGCAAATCCATATTCCATTTGCCACGCCTTTTTGTCATACTCTTTGTATTTTGAAATTTGAGACAAGCTTCTAGATCTTTCGTTTGAGAACAACTGCCTGCATCAGAAGATAAAATTATACCGAGACACTACATGACCTACGGTTCGCTAATTAAGCTATACCACGCATTGGCATTTCTCAGAATAGGTGGACAAAGGGGGTATTATGGGAATATGTTTCTGTTTAAAAGTATCAGCAATGACAAGTTCGCGTTCAGAACCAATAAGATGAATAAACAGCTAATGAAAAAGCTCTGGCTATTACATATGTGAATAAAAACAACAAAACAATCAAAATAACCGATTATATTCTACAGTCAGCAACCAGACTAAATTAGGCGAAAAGAATATTTTTTCAGTATTTCACTTTTGTGGATACAGTTGAGTTTGTCAATGTGATTTATACTTCATCATAATGCATACATCAACCCTTTCCATGTATTCAGAAACTCATTATTTAGATGTTCATGAGCGTCTCGTCTAAAATGTGGTGGACCCCCATCCTACAGGAACCACATCTTCTAATAATTGTTTGCAGATTGTGTCGAATAAAATCTAAATAAATTTCTCCGGTCAGTCGAGGAGGAAAAGTAGGGTCCAATAAGCATGCCATTTACCACGCCAGCCCAAACATTTAATGAAAATCTATGTTTAAAATAAGTTCTTTTTACAGCAGCGGATTTTCTACTGCCCAAACATGATTGTTGTGGAAATTGTGCACTCCATTCCGTAAAATGTGGTCTCGGCTGTACACAAAATTAGTTTCTTAAAACCTCCAATTCTGTTGAACTGGCAAAATGCAACTCTTGTCGTATTGTCTTCCATACCTTACTTCAATAAACTTCGACTGCTATGGCTCTAGTACTCATTGTTGGGTCGTCTTTGCACCATTTCTTAAATGTCTTCCTCAATTTGTAACATTTCAGGTTGAGCAGGTCTTCCTTCGTGACCTCTTGTGTCACAAAGTCTAATAACTAAATTTACGAACATCCGTGGGGCCGGATGATTTCTTACATTCCGCATACAACCTGCATGCTGCGGCTGCATTTTGTTGACACTCTCCGTATATTAGAGTATTATGTCCGCTAGTTCATTGTTTTTTTAAGAATGGGTCATGTTTTCATAGTTAAAATAAGTTACTCAACTTTGAAAACACGCTGTATAATGTGGTTTTTATTGAGATCGCTTGTATGATACGAAGTAAGCTTGAAGGAGGCATTTTGTGAAAAAGAACAAATCTGTCGAGGAGGATGTCAAAGATTCTTACCTAATACATATCGTGTCGCTCAACCAAGCTGATGCAGAACATAACACCTATTCGCTGTAAACCAATGTATCAACGTGCCATTTGCATAACTGTGACTGCAGTCGATGTATATTCAGCATTACAGCTAAAGAATCCACACTCTCGCTTCGCAACCACTAGCCTATCATCGGAACATTCATCAACATGGATCATCCACACACATGACCACTCAGTACTCGCATGAGCACAGAACGTCAAAATTAGCTCCCATTATATGCCTCTTTCCATCTTTACGGACAGATCGCAACGGTCCTTAGTCGAATACACAATTGAGCAGGATGAAATACCGACATGCTTTCGATGACTGAATCGATCCGATAATCACCTCTTCAAGCTGTCAAAGACATTTTCTACCATATTTCACTCAGGCTGCCACTGCAACGCAATCTCGATGTCAATTGCAAATCGTGGTAGCTGAGGTCGACTGTGTCAATATTTTACTAGCCTGGATAGATATTATACTTACTGTTGTAGCGGATTCGGGGTAACGGTACTTTACAAAGGAAGTGGATTTAGGCAAAGAGATGTAACAGAATGAAGTATGCTTAATCGAGGCTCTGGGTGGTTTAAGCTCATTAATTTCATGAATACTCGTACATGTATATGTAGACTGGATTTATGTATGAGGCTTGAGCATCGTACAAAGCTTTGTCTGTATGTGTTGAAACGCGAGAACTTTGGAGTACAACGACAATAATGAGTAGGCTATAGTTAATTTTACTGTATTGTATCGTTTAACACACTCGACGACTCCTAAAATACTACAAATACCTGACTGCAAGTATATTTTCTAACACCTCGAACGGGAGTAGTAATAGTAGAGTTAATGCCGCTAGATTATTGGGTGAACACCTAGAAAACAGCAGTACGCATCAACAGTCAGGTTAACGGATATGGCCCGGTCAAATTAGAAACATTAGGTAAATGTCAGAACACAAGTAGTCGGTTTAGTTGGGTGGATTGACAGAAATAGCCTAGTAAACTTAGTAGTCGAGGTCATCCAGATCGAGATTCAGATTCGGATTCATTCATTGATCCAGTAAGATCTACATTGTACTCATTGGATAGGTACATATACGAGGAGGTATCCAAAAATAACCGGAATAGCATTGCAGTGGGCGGAGCCCGTGTAGTACACATTTCTGCCCCTAGAGGCATACAGCGCAATACATTACGTTCACTGCCACATGAGTTGTCGATCTAACTTCTTTCGTTCCTCTGTAATCATTATTTTTGCTAAAGCTGTTACGTGCTTGTTTCGTTTTTACGATGCCAAGCTTCAGTGAGCAACGTGCAGCTGTGAAATTTTGCTGATGAGAAGGAGCATGAAAGGATGCCACTTTGACGAATTGAAGGGGTGAAAAAAAAACAGGGAGGAGCTGTCAAACGTTTCCAAGGAAGCCTTCAGTAAAGTTTCGAGCAGTGTAAGCATCCGTGGGACAAGTGTATAAGTTGTAGTGGACAGTATTTTGAAGGAGATAAGGTTACTTTGTGAAAAGTTGAAAATAAATAGCTTTTAACAAATAGCTCCAGTTTTTTTTGGGTACTCCAGCGTACATACATATATACAGATTAAAATATAGTAAAATACAAACAACAATAGGAACATAAAAAAATAATATGGTACTTATACACATGGCAATAAATTATTTATCTATCAGAAGCATCGTGGAATGTGACAGACTCACCCAGTGGAGTCAGGTTTTTAATCTCTAGGGGTAACAATTTAAAAAAGTATATATGTCTGCTGTTATGGAGGTTTTGGATGAAATATTTGATAAGATATAGGCCTAATATATTAATTTTCTTACGAGTGCCGCAGTCATGGCAAGCGGACTTTGAATATAATGCGAAATATTTTTTTTGTAAGACAACCACTCTAGAGAATTCATTACCCTGGATCCAACGCAGTAAGGCCATATGAAATGACAGATTGTACACACGCGTAGTAGACGTCTATCAATCCTGAGGTGTTTAATCCCCCCCCTTACATATGGAATCAAAGCTTACTCATAAAAACACAGTATCTTTAGATGATACAGCTGTCCTGCATTGAAGACTGGAATTTCTGACATTACTGGTTATACTGCGGTGAAATCAGTTTTGTAAGCTTATTAGATAAACGACTTGAATAGAGTAGGCGGGGTCCTCAGACGGATTAAAGTCCAGTAAAATTGACGAAATTTGTTGGGCAAACCACCCATACGGAAGTAGTCGATGCCATCGTGCATGTTGGGGGCTATTGTTGGATGAAATTAGCTTACGAAGTTACGAGAGAAGGAGTCATCCACCAAATAAAATGTTGTGTGTATGTTCAATAAACTTTCACACACCAGGTGAAGCGCTGAGACAGTTAGTGGCAAGTCCGTTTTTTTATTGTTTGCATTTTACGAGTACATTATCAAATAACGAAATAATACTTAAAAGCCAAAAATAACAAACTACATCTTTATTTACACTGCGTTCCGTCGTGATTTGCGTCTGGCATTGCGGCGTTGTCAGATTTTATTTTACTAAAGTCGCTTTTCTCTAAAAAATGCCGTTTTGACCCCCATGTTATATGAAACTTTTTGCTTCTTTTAACCTATACTATCACCCATTTAAATAATGACTATCATAACGTTTACACCCTGTTTAAGAATGTTTGGCTTCCTATCAAACATATTTTGGGATATCTGGCCCCAATCACCAGTTTATGGAGTAGCACCCTTTCTTGTACCTACTTTACGTTTAGTTCTCTTAGTTGCTACCCGCTCCACTCTTTTTATGGGATTTGAACCTCTTCAGCGTGGAAAGGTATTGAAAAATAAGGTCATTTGCGCTCCTCCAGCTTATAGCTATTTTGTAGCTTTTCACCAAAAGGAAGCAGATATTGAACAACTTTTCGGGACATGCAATAATGCACGTGGTCAGATAGTACAAAAAAAGGACTGCCTTCTTTTAGATGATTTTGATTACTCTCTACTATCTCATATCTATATTCCTCATTATTTCGACAAGGCCTAATTCCCAAGGTGGAGATCAGTGATCCCAAAGTCAAATGTAACTAACCTCGAGTTCCAGATTCCCCGCACGTCTCATACCCTCATTCCTCTGGACCCTGCTTGTACTGTAATACGTCTATAAAGCATATATGGAGGTAGCTCTAATACACTTTCTTTGTAGATTCTTACTGGTAGCATGACATAAGACAGACCAGTAGTGCGTGCTGAGGCGCGAATGTAGGTTATTCCATTAACAAAATATTAGGTAATAAACTCGGGACGAGGTTTGACGGGAGTTATTTTCAGCCAAGCAGCGGGTCGAAGCAGCGCGACGTAAACTGATGACAAACGAGGAACAGTGATGCGTTTATAAGGTCATTACTGCCGCGCGAGCTTTGCTTTTACGTCAACCCATATAAGGCGGGCTCGTTCATAAATCTGTGATGAAAAATTGTAAGAGGTTTTGTGTTACCACAATCTAGATGGCAACATTGACATAAAGGCTGAAAACATTCACACACTTCTATCATGTCAAGTTGTCCTAGGAGGCTCGAGTGGTGTATACCACAAACACCGCCTGTCAAGAAACAACGCAATGGCTGTTTTGCTGTAATTTTAACTAAATTGCATTGGATCATAAGAATTTCACGACAAGTCTGTCCTACCTATACTACTCTTACTTTCGCTTGGATCGCAGTTTACGCACTTGTCTTATATATATTTAAAGTAAAATGAAATACCTACATCCTTTTTACCTCTCACTGTCCTAGGAGGAATACGATTTCCACGCGTGGGTGTGTATGTATGTGTGCATGCGCCTCAAAAATTTCACGGCCTTACTGGATTGTAGTATATCAGGTGTCGTTAAATTCGTCTAAGATGATGAATTTCGATCAAACATGTCGCCTTCAAAATTTATATTTCTTGGGCTACAGCTTTTGACATGTGAAGTGTTGTCTTGACAATGCGAGTGATACATTGAAGTGGCGGATCTTAGTGAAAAAATTCAACCTTGAAATTAATATTGCATGGGTACACCTTATATGGCTTGATGAATTTTGACATATTCGGTACCTCTAGATTTCTGTTGATCAATCTTCATTTCTTTCAGTAACTTCAGTCAGGTTGCTTGTATTCTTTATAAATGTAGCTATCTTGATCTTTTACTGAAAGTTAGCAGTTATCTGTGGAAGGTAATGCATAGGTGCTCGCCTCTTATAGGTTTCGGGGCAATATTTTGCGTAGCTTCCCTAATATTGCTCAGTTGCTCATTATTTTTTTTTTATACTCCAACTACCACGAAGGCCTAAGGCCTAAACACCCATTGGGCACCGTGGGGCTATAGGTGGATACAGGGGAAAGGGGGACGCCACACGGACACTGGCGAGGGAACACGTGTGCATGCAACATGCACACATTCTGGCTCCGCCTACGAGATCCGCCGGGTGGTACCTCCACGTTCGACAGTCAGAGACCGTCTACCACCTACGGACAATCACAACATCCATAGCCAAGAGAAAAATTTCTCCTGGGACGGGACTCGAACCCGCACAGCGCACGGCGACTGATCAGGAGACCGAAGAGTCTACTACTGCGGCCACCGCTGCTGCCTATATGCTCATTAACATTTCAAAAAGGTTTTGGATCGTTAAATTTGGTGATCCTAGAGGCCAGACGATATCGCTTCATGAGAAGATCAATTGCTCGAACCGCAATTCATCCTGGTTCCGTTGTAGAATTTTAAAGGCCTCAAAGCTTTGCATCACATTAATAATGCTAGCCAGAGGTAGTAAAAGAATTATGTGCTATGTGCGTTGTCTTTTTGGATCACTCAGGTTTGTGCAAGTCTTTGGGGAAAACATTTTTTATACAAAACTTATTTCAGAGGGAGGCTAACATTTCATTTAAAATATTTTGGTTAAAAAATAAATGACCACCCGCTACATGCTTTGAAGAACAACAGCATATTGCACAGCAAACTTTCTAAGAACAAATGCCGGGGTATATCGACGCAGAAATAAGTGATTCTAAAAGCACTTTTTCGAGAGCGGGAAACATAAGAAGCCGTATATTTTGCCTTCTTTCCTAATATTTATGTAGGTCCCATATTGGAAAAAGCCGACGGAACGGGATCACTTAAAATTCAACAGGAGAACTCAGTTCAAACTATTTATTTTGGATGTCACGCCGCTAACGCTGAAACAATAATTTAACTCTTGTATGTGTACCCTTTCGCACCAGTGGCGGAGGCATATTGCCTTTGTCCAAACTAATGCTATAATAAACTTAACACAGATCAGGAAAGCTAATTACGCAGATGGTGTAAGTAGTATTGCATCAATCTGTACCCTGCTCTTAGCGTTCTCTGAATAAAACTTTACATATTAATTAAATGAAAAATGCGTCTGTATTCGCAGCTGTCCTGATATTTTCTCTTGGTTAGAGTATCTTCTTTGCTCTTGGATGAAGTATTGTCAGTAGGTCTGTCTGGTCTGGTTGCCCCGATAACAAACAAAGTCATGGAGAAAGAAGAGAAGAAGAAAGAAGAAAAGGAAGGAGGAATAACAAAGAGGAGGAGGTGCGTCAGTTTGGCATCTTGGCATTGCTTATTAATATTCAGGTATTAAAGTTTATCCTTGAATTAATTTAGCACTTGTTTGTTGTAGAAAAATTGTTTTGGACCTAAAGTGACACGATTTAGTTTTGTTAACAGTGCGAGCCGCAGTCTTGTGTGCTTGTGAACTCGACTGTGAGTGCGTAGTGGTATAACTGTTTGAAATATCAAGAGCCTTATTTTATTGTTCATTGTGATATATCAGAGGTGACAGTGACAATGTTGTTCTTGAAAACAGAAATTTCACGACTCTGTAGCTATTCAATATGATAATAATAATAATAATACTAATACTAATAATAATAATAATAATAATAATAATAATAATAATAATAATAATAATAATAATAATAATAATAATAATAATCATCCTAAAGCTGATGTTCAGAGGTTGTATATCAGAAGGCGTGAAGGTGGGAGAGGACTGATAGAGCTTGAGTCTGCTTTCAACTCGGAGATAGTTCAGCTAAGCGAATATATAAGATCCAGTAACGATAAACTTCTGAAAGCTGTTAGGCATCATGATGAGGAAAAACTGAAAAACTCGCTTCTCAGGGAAGCTATAAAAAGCAAAGCTAAGTATCTCAACTCTGATGTGTTCGGTCAAAACATAAAAGACATGATGCGTTGTAACGCTCAAATCGAAAAAAAGCAAGTCTTGAGAAACAAGCCTCTGCACCGTCAATTTTTCAGAAACCTCGATAAGCCATCCATAGACAAACAGGCGACAATGGCGTGGTTACAGAGCTCTGGACTAAAGGGCGAGACTGAGAGTCTTTTAGTTGCAGCACAAGACCAGGTACTAACAACACGATATTATACAACAAACATCTTGAAGCAGACAACAGACAGCAAGTGCAGAGTATGTGATCAGGCAGAAGAGCATATCAGTCACGTAATAGCAGGTTGCAAGGTGCTGGCGCCCAGCGAGTACACGCACAGGCATAACAACGTCGCTAGCTGTGTCCACTGGACCATATGTAAGATTTAGGGTTGTCCGTGGCTAGCAAGTACTACGAGCACGTTCCAGAAAGAGTACTAAGTCTTAACGACACCACTGTCATGTGCAAATCGGCCTGATATTGTGATTCACAACAAACAACAGAAGACGTGCCTTCTGCTAGATATCGCAGTACCTGATGACTCCAACGTGCTGCTGAAAGAATCTGTAAAGATCTCAAAATATGAAGACCTAGAGATCGAGATCAGCAAAATGTCTAAACAACTACCTTCAAATATTACCAGGCCTGCCTAGCGAAACTGAAATCCAAAAGATTGCATTGTTGGGTACCACACATATCCTACGGAAAGTGCCATCTAAGAGCTCCTGTCGAGCTCCGTGTTTACTCCTGAAAACCGTCCAGAGGCGAGAGCAAAACAACATTAATAATAATAATATAATAATAATAATAATAATAATAATAATAATAATAACAATAATAGTAATAGTAATAGTAATAGTAATAGTAATAGTAATAGTAATAGTAATAGTAATAGTTTTTTTTTTTTTTTTTTTTTTTTTTTTTATAGGACCGTCGCCAGGCCGCAACCTGGAGCGAGTGGGTCTACGAACCGCCTTTGTGCTGGAACCGCCAAGATGGCATAACTTCACGCACGCAGGCTGTCTTGTCTTCATCGTCTTGTTCTTCAGTAATAGTAATAGTAATAGTAATAGTAATAGTAATAGTAATAGTAATAGTAATAGTAATAGTAATAGTAATAGTAATAGTAATAGAATAGTAATAGTAATAGTAATAGTAATAGTAATAGATAGTAATAGTAATAGTAATAGTAATAGTAATAGTAATAGTAATAGTAATAGTATAGTAATAGTATAGTATAGTAATAATAATATAATAATAATGATAATAATAATAAATGCTTGGGCTGTGCCAGTGCTGTCATTTAGCTTTGGCGTTATTGAATGGAGCGATACAAACCTAGCAGAAATCGATCGCGAAACTAGAAAATTGCTCTCCAAATTTCGTATGCTACATCCAAAATCTGCGACGGAAAGAGTATACATACCTAGAGCATACATCAATTGCCAAAACATTAGGAGCATTATAGCTATGGACAGCAACATCACCCATGAATTTGGGCAGAAATCATGAACCCTCAGATCGATCAATACCGACGTCGACTGACCTGCTCAACGGATGGAAAGAGAAAGCCCTACACGGGAGATATCCTGTAACACTTGAAAAAGATGGAATTGATAAAAAGTCCTCAATATCAATTTTTGTGAAAGGCTACCTACATCCGGAATCGGGGGGTTTTCTATGTGCTATTCAGGATAAGGTTATTCGAACCAGAAACTATGAACGCCATATACTGGGCCTGAATACACACGACGTATGTAGAAAATGCCATACGCCAGGTGAAACAATAGAACACATCACCTCCAGCTGCAACATGTTAGCCAGTAGTGCTTACTTATCCCGGCATAATCAAGTAGCCAAAATAATACACTCCACGTTAGCTCAAAATTATAATCACATTCAGTCAACCGCGCCATATTATAAATATACACCATTCCCAGTACTCGAGAATCAGTCGGCCCTATTGTACTGGGACAGGCCAGTCATAACCGATAAAACAGTTGACTATAACCGGCCAGACATACTACTGATCGATAAAAATAAACGGAAAGCATACATAATTGATATCGCAGTTCCACTCACAGTAAACATGATCAGAACCGAATACTCCAAGGCTGAAAAGTACCAAACCTTGCCATTGGAATCAAAAACATTTGGAAACTATCAGAGGTCTGCATAATACCAGTAGTAGTGTCTGTGGAAGGGGCAATCTCTGTAAATCTCCACTCTCACTTAGAGAAAATCAAAGTTCCAGCGCATTTTATTGCATTGATGCAGAAAGCCGCAATCTTGCAAACATGTCACATAGTTCGCAAGTTCTCTGCAATAGGCTGAGGTGAATTCCTCAACTGTTGTGTACATACCCCGTGTGTAACGCTGAAAGACCAACCAAAAACGAATAATAATAATGATAATAATAATAATAACGGCTTTATTGGGCGAATATGTGTAAAAACAGTGAAACAGTATCAAACAAGACTTGTGTCAAGAATTAAGATGAGATAATGTTATGTCGCGCATTGCTGCGCTGCTGCTCAAACAATTGTGCACAGCAGGGAAGAGACTATAGTTCCACAATACTGAAAGGTATTATTCAACTCTGCATTGCTGTATCCCAATGAGGCAGGAACGGTTTGCTGTGCCAGCAGGCAAAACCAAAAGAGGCAGAATGAGCTCGAAAAATTGCCGTTAATAACCTCTGATACTGGAAGAGGAGAGCGTTGGATGTTAACGGTACAAATCTCAAGGTTTGCGTGATAACACTGAAGAACTAGAAATGCTGGTATATGTAACAAGAAATCGATTGAAAACGTGAATAGTTTAAAGTAGCAGGTCAAATTTCAATAGAAAACTAACACTTTTTACGTGTTATTTAAAAAACGATATCATAAACAATTTTGAGCATAACTTTTTTGTCGCTCTTCAGATTCTTAAAATCAAGGACTAATAGATCATTCCTCTTATCTCCGAGATTCCAACGGCAAAAAAATTCTTGGAAGCAATAAGATTATGAAAAGGTAAAAATAGTTCTGATACCGTATGTCCTAAAAGTTCATTTATTTAAACACTAACTAGTTATCACTAACTGCAACTCAACGATGTTAGGTCTGGCCAAAGCATGACATTCATTAGCATGACAAACTGAAGCAATATGGAAAGGCAGCTAATTTCATCTTTGGGTACCAAACAACTTGTAGATACTTTTTCTTATTTCTAAGTTATACGACATCTTAAAGTGAAAACTTCAAAATCAATAAATGCCAACTGACAGTAAAGTAAGTAAACAAACTTTTGCTTCCAAAGGCAACATGATATTATTTTGGGTTTGCTTAAATTAATGCCAATGAATTTTGCGTCAAAACTTCTAGGACAAACGTTAATAGAGGGCGCAAATGTGTCTGAATAGTGTCGTTTCTTGGGAAGAAGTTGTTTTCCTCAGATGGCACTCTGTGTTATCAGTAATCTGACGATGATTACCATCTCCACAATATATACTATGCTGGTGAGGCAGTCCACACGTCGTGGGCACCACAGATGGATAAATGACACAACCGCCGTTTTACTTATATTTGCCCAAGTTATTGTAACTTGCATCAAGCTAGCATAGTTTCTGTTGTGGCACGTTATAGTTATTTTGTGTGTTTATTGATTCTCTACAAGGGAGATATACAAGTGGACACAACCCCCGTATTAAAATACAAGTCGTAGGTAGACATCAACATAAAACGCATTTATATTACCAAAAATTAGTAGGCAACGCGAAAATCAGAAAAGTAAGATAATAGCTAGGCTTTGACGTCTATAAGGAACGTGCATGATGATGGAGTACTCTTAATATGCTCTGGTAAAGAATTAGAGAAAACTCAGTGTAGGAAAATACAGTAATTCTTGGCATGCCGGATGCAACGATGATACACATCTGACCATTTCAAGAGTGTTGTGTGCTTTAACATGCACAAGGTGAGTTATCCAGTACATATTTTCTCAGACAGTACGAACATCTGATACAGGTATTTGGAATATCTTTTAAGGAAGCTAAAGAAGGAGTTACATAATTTCACTTGCACTTTTGATGTGTGAACGCAAAGAGCTTTCATTCTGGCATATGATTTATTTAGTAAGTAATATGCACTATGCACCTCAACTTATCATCCATGTAGAGTCTAAGATTTTTACAGGTTTTCCCTACAATTAGATTTTCTTTGTTGCTGTTGATGACAAATTTTTCATTATTTTTGATCGTAACATCACCTGATATTGAATCGCGATCTGCAGAGTAGGTGGATTTACGTATGTAAGAAAGACAGAGTTAATTCTCATTCTAGCTGTGTCTTACTGAATGGGTTGCAGATCTGTTTTTTCATCCGTATATTGATGCGCCTTACAAAATTCAAGGCGAAAATTTAAATCTGCAGTGTGTATGAAGTACACGTTCAGAACTAGGCGTGATGACTGAATACAAAGGCCGCATCTAGCCGTTTGTCTGCGCACAATGGACATGTGTATAGGTTCAGCGTTCTTTGATTGTGCAAGATGTCTATTGCTGTTCATGAACCGTAAAGCGTTGATAGGGTTAGTGGAGCGAGCGTCATTTCTGAACCAGAGTCTCGACCTCAAGGTCAGGGCAAGCAACTAATGGCTGAAGCAAAAAAATCTCAATTTGACATTAGGAACAGCAGGCTGTCTTTCAAGTAGAAAAAGTAAGACTAAGTAATATCTTCTAGTTATAAAGTGATAAAGAACCATTGCACATTGCTGAAAAAGTCGGCGCTACTGCCCTTTTAATGTTCGGATTAGCTTCAATGTGACAGAGAAAGCTTTCAGTTTTGTACACAACTGATCTTTCCAGTCAAACATATATTCCATAAACGACTACATTACGTCACTCGATGGCCGGCTTTGCCTGAATTCGTTGAATCGCATGCACACTGAAACCGGCTACCGTGAAAATAATTATCACGAAATCAAAGCTCCAGCTACCAGGTGCAGTGCAGTTATCCCGCTCAATCTAAGCAACTGGATTGATAAAAGCATCGCCTCTATTGCGGATATTTTTCCGAACAGCGACACGTTCTGCGGATTAACTTGATTGACAGTGTCTACCGTACATGAAAAATGTGTTGAGCTCCAGTTTGTCGATCATAGTTAAACTATAACTTCTGTCCACCGAAAGTTAACATTCAAGAACCCTCCTTCAATATTACACTTTTCGTTAACTTCGTCGTCAATGTCGACAGCTATTGAGTTGTTTGACCGGAAGCTGGAAAACGAATTATAAGGTACAACCGCCAATTAAACTCCAGACTGAATTTAGATCCTTGACAATAACACCGATGTCGCCTTGACGTTGTAGATAGGATCAGTCATGATCATGTTATAACCTGATTCAAACTGATATCCAAGTAATGACCCAAATCACTATCTAAATCATCATCGCAATACCTAAACAATTGTAGCGGATCCTGTGTATGACCTATGAAGGAAATGCGATATTTATATTAAAAAGGTTAAAATTAAATTAATTAGTCAGTCAGGTTAGCTCGTCAAACCAAAAATTAACTTACGTTCGAAATACTGTGCCTTAACATGAAAATACTCACTCAAGTGGTGATCATTGAGAAACTAAACATGAACCGGTTAAACTTACAGTGGA